GAAGAAACTGCCATATGATTGGTTGATTAGATAATTGCATTAATGAGAAATTGAACAGGTGTTCCTAATAATCCTTTAGGTGAGTGTACATGAGTGTACATCTGTGAGTGTATATACCTGCAATGGACCATTGGCTTCCATTATAACATTTAAAACATCACCAGTTTCTCAGTACATTATCACGGTTTCCTTTCCAGGGTAAAGTGTCATGCCCTGATTGTCCGCTCCTTCCGTGTGCCACGCCCCCTCGTTAACCCCGTGTGGAATCCCCGTGCGATCAGCTGTTTCTTGTTGCTGTTATTAGCGCTATGTATTTAGTCCGTGTTTCAGTTCGTTTCCCCAGTCTGGTCATTGTAAAGTCAATGCGTGTTTGCTATTACTTTTCTCCTGTCCGCTGTCTGAGCTTCCCGAAGTGTCCCAGTCAGCAGGAAGAAGGAGGAAGCGGAAGAACCGAACACGAGAGAAGACACTGGAGCTCTTCATAGGGGCCGTCTCAGTCTCCGCAGCCTGCCCTGCTGCATGTTGGGAGGAATCCCTCCCAGTGCTTAATTCTGGCGGTTCCCGTCTTGGCGGCTGGCACGCCACCCTGTGAGTATCCAGCCCCGGCGGCTGACGCATCGCCTCCTGAGGTTTCCGTCCCAACGGCCGACACCTGAGGTTCCAGTCCTGACGGCCAGCACGCCACCCTGCGAGGCCTGCTGACGCTTCGGCCCCAGCGGTTCCCACGCCGGCGATGGATGCTCCGCCTTCCCCGGTTCCTGGCCCCTCGGCCTTAGTTCCCCTGGTCCCTGGCCCCTCGGCCTCAGGTCATCTGATCCCTGACCCCTCAGCCCCAGTCCCCCTGATCCATGACCCCTCGGCAGAAGGTCCCCTGGTTCAAGTTCCCCTAGCTCCAATCCCCGAGGTTCCTGACCCTGCTCCCGTGTCCCTGGCTTCCTTGGGCCCAGCCCCTGTCCCTGAGGAGGTCCCTGATGACCTGACCACTGCTCCTCCCTCCTTAATGGAGCTGGAAGAGGAGCTCGAGTGGGACCCCTCTGGGATCACCCTGACTATACCCTTGGACCCCTCCAGGGGGGTCACCTCAGTCACTGCCCCCTCATTGTGGCGGATCCAGCCTGGGTCTCCCAGGAAGGGAGAGGACACCGAAGTATTGGGTACCACCCATCCAGCTCCCTAGTTCACCTTTGTTCCCCTTGACTTTGGCTCGACAGGCGCCTACGTGTCTTCCGGTTCCCGTTCGGCGGTCGCCTTCGGTGTTTCCTGTGGCGTCTTATTGGCTGGCTGTGGGTCCCATGCCTGCAGCTCCTCGGCCAGCTGCAGCCCGGTGTCTGGCATCTCATAGGTCACATGCGGGTCTCCCGCCTGCAGCTCATCGGCCGGCTGCGGCCTGGTCTCTGACACCTCTTCAGTAACCTGCGTGGCTACAGTTCCCTGCTCCCCTCCGCCACAATCCCCTTCGCATCCCTCCTCATCTTCTACTCCAGCCCCTTCGCCGTCCTCCTCGCCACCATCAGTGTCCCCTTCATCTCCTGCTCCAGCCTCAGTCTCCTGCTGCTCCAGCGGCCTCCACCTCATGCCCGCCAAGGGTCCCTCCAGCTCCCCGGTTCCCCTTGCCCTTGGGTTCCTTGCACCCCACGTTTACTCCCCGTCCTGCTTCACCGTCGTTCCCCTCTTGTTTCTTTGTGCCCCCTGTTTCCTCCTCGTCCCTCTCTTCCCTGTTGGTCCCTTAATGCCCCCTGTAGGTTTTCCCCCTGATGTTGTCCCATTGTTGTCCACCTCCTTGGGTTCTGTGTTCCCGTTTCTGGTCCCTCTGTGTGTGTCTGCATTCCCAGTCATGTGTCGGTTGTTATTTGAGTTGTCTTCCTTGCGTCTGTTTTGTTTGTCCGTGCTGTTCCCTCTGGCCTGTTGATGTTTTTTGTTTTTATTTCCCCAGGTTTCGTTGTGTCCTTGGTCTTGCTGCCTCGCTCCCCTTTGGGGGGGGGGGATGTACTGTCATGCCCTGATCTCCGCTCCTTCCGTGTGCCATATGCTTATAGAAATGAATGGAGAGTCCCCACTAAGATATACATCTGTGTGTGTGTGTGTGTGTGTGTGTGTGTGTGTGAGAGAGAAAGTGTCAATTCCCTCAAATTATTTTTTTTCAAAATTCAGATTACTCTTTGATCAGCTACCATACAATCTGTTCATTTGACTGAAATTATGCATAAGAAGTGAAGTATAATGTTAAAATAAAGTAGAATATTAAAGCATGTATTGGCTGCTAGTCTACCATGGCCCTTACTACTTTTTAGACTGTTATAGCTTGTTATTCTAAAATTTAAAAAGCAGTTATTTTGATCTTAGCCGCTGTGATCGTGTACTGATGTGCCAGATAAATTGACAGATGCTGTATCTCCATGTCTGCATTGTATACTGACAGTGCAGTGAAGCACTGCTCCGAGCGCTAATCACTTTTGGAATGTGGATCCATCAGCACCATCTGAAATCAGAACAGCATCTTTAGGTTAACAGGCTCTCGTGTCTGACTGCACAACCCAGTGGTGTTTGCAGCCTCTTTGCGGCCATTTTCACACGCCTTCACTATCAATCGGAAAGCAGTGAAGTGATGCTTCGGCTCGAGGAGCTGCCCCCCCGTGGGTGGTCTGTGCTGAGATACTCAGTGCTTAGTTTGTGCCTAAGTTTGCTGGAGCTCAGCAGCGGGACCTCTGGCTCAGAGCTGTCTTCACTCTGGCAGCTCAAACGCTACACCTAATTGTTATGGCAGGGCATCAAAAAGGACAGGGCGGTCCAGAGAGAGGCTCTCAGAGAGGTTTATTTAACTCAAAACAAAACACATAGGGGAAACCGGAAAATAAAGGGACCACAAGGGATCAAAAACAAGACAGGCAAAATAAGATCTACCTAAAAAGTACCACAAAATAACACACTAGGGGCCAGAGTAAAACTGGGAGATAACCACAGCAACTGTAATGGCCAACACCAACAACTATAAGCACCAGAACACAATGCAAAGCACAGGATACAGGTACACAGGAGGATAGGAACGAACGAACGAGCACACACACACACACACTTTTGCGGTGAAATTGAGCTTGATGGACCGGCCTTCCCCAAACAGGAGTGTCCTATCCGCGGGATCTCCCAGAGGACCACGGATGTTGAGACATAGAAGGGGCATCCTCAGAGCCGTCCATGACAATTTGAGTTAAACTTTGGAATAAATGCAAATTGACCTAAAAAGATGTGTATTACAAAAGCATTTGTATTGTATGATTTTTTACATGCATCCAAATAAATTAGTATGTTTCGCTCATCTGTCTTTTGACTTGAAACCGCATCACAGGC